CGAAACCAAAAAGAGAAGCTAGAAACGCAAAAACACAGTTTGACTGCTTTAAATGTATGCTAGATACTAATATAGTCAAAGAAATTACGTGTTGCATCAGCATATCATGAACCATACTGGCAGTGTGGAATCCACGCGTATACTTACTAAGAAAATAGAACGCTTATACTGGAGGGTTAAAATTATCGTACAAAATGGTGTCTTTCCGCTATTTTTACTAAATATATTTTTTTTGTTATTAATTTATTTAATGTCGTCCGAACCACTGGAGTTATAGACGACAACAATGGAAAATACATATTGTAACAAAGAAAGGTTAATATTAATTACGTACTAACATTAAAGAACATTAAAGAAGATTGATATATGTAATATAAGTACAGTCTAGTTATTAATTTAAATATCTTTTATGCCTACAACCGTTAAAAACTTTATAATATTGTGTAGATGATTATTGTCTCTAAGAAGGTCGCCTATGTCGCTGGGAAGGTTGAGTTTACTTCTGGTTTCCTGGAAAATTTGACATTCGGTTAAAATATGTTTAACTTTATTGCTGGTTTGACACTGGTTGCAGTATGGAGGATTGTCTCTTGTAATTCGGTAAAGATGTGTATGACGGGTGTGACCAATTCGAAGTCGAGAAAAGATGACTTGTTTTTTCCTCGGTAACACCAAGGCTTGTTTTTGTAAAACATTGTCTTTAATTTGCCTTAGTTTTTCGGAACACTGCGACCATTTGTTTTGCCACGCACAACTAACTATGTTTTTTAAGCACAATTTAAGATCACTTGGCAGTATTTTATTTAATTGCACTTGACCATCACTTGTCGCTGCTTCGTGAGCTAGACGGTCCACAACCTCGTTATCATGTATTCCAATATGAGATGGAACCCAGATTAATACCACATGTTTGTTTTCCTTTGCAGCATTTTGAAGTTCTTTGTAAATGTCTTTATGAATAGGATTGCTGGAGTATATGTTTTTGATGTCACAAAGAGCATTCATTGAGTCAGTTATGATTGTATAATTTCTCTGGTCCGTTGTGTTAAAGAACTTTAGAGCTTCAAGGATTGCGTATAGTTCTGCGTTCGAGATAGTCCAGTTGTTATGCAACTTAAATTTAGCATTATAAATATTACAGAAAATGGCTGCGCCGATTCCGTCCGTTGTTTTTGATGCATCTGTGTAGATCTGTCGGTAGTCGCTAAATCTATCCATAATATCTTTGAAGTTGTTTATTAATATGGCTGGTGGGGATTCATGTTTATTAAATTTTGATAGATCAGTAATTACTGGTGGTTTATTTACAGTCCATGGAGGAGGAGGGTTTTCGGAAGGATGGTATATTGACGGGAATTGTATGCTATATTTATGAAGTAATCGGTTAATTCGTTCATAGAAAGGCGGATTACATTGAGGATGAGATGAGAAGTAGTGGCTGAAACGATTGCTGTGAACGTTATGGTAGACTGGGTTATCTAGAGAGGATAGAACTTTACAAGCAAACGACAAACTTAAAAAATCTCTTCTAAATTCTAAAGGGGTTTGCCCTGATTCACTACATATACTTAGTATGGGGCTTGTTCGAAAGGCACCCAAAGCGACTCGCAGTCCCGTATTTTGGATTACATCTAGTTCTTTATTTACTAAATATTAAAACATCTTAAAAGTTATAAACAGCTGCCTTAGTTAAATTACCAAACAAATTAGTAATTCTATTTATTAATATCATTTTATTAATTTATCAAATTTTATGGTAGAAAAATAGTTAGAGGACGCGAGAGGCAGAGAACTTGTAAGTTCTAATGATTACTGCCATTAAGAAATTGTACAAAATTATTTTAATTCATTATATTTAATTTAATTATAGTGTACATATAATCATTTATTATTCCAATATCTAATTGAAATAAATACATACCGTGGGTTTTTGGTGCAAAACTCCCTAACTTAAAATTTTATTTTTTTTAGATCTTTAGGTATATTTTTCACTTTTCTTCAAGTTTATTTTTATTCTAAAATATATTTATGGTCACAAAAAATGAAGAAACAAAATGCACATTAGGTTTAAGGTATAGTGAGTTTTACTTGTCACAGCAAGGTGGTTTTTCTACCATGTGGTCCATATGTATGGAATTTTTAGCGTTATTATGTACATACTATTTGAAAAAAACCTGAGACAGGTCGATTTTTATTCTTAAATTGATAATTTATAGTATAAAAATATTACCCCCCTCCAGCACCCCCTTTGAATTATAAGGACCCCCTGGAAAATTTTAAATAACAAAGGGGGTCGTGTGACACCTTGTTAGAAAGGAATTTTAGTCCTCTGTTCAGCAATATAAAGTTTTTTAAGTTTGGTGCAATCATAACTGAGAAAAGTGATTTCTTAGAAATTCTGATGATATCTCTATCACAAAACTTTGGGTTGAATGGCGATAATAATGTCACATAATATTTAGAATATAGTTTTCAATGTACTTTGCAATTAAATTAAATGTCCACCATTCACTTCTTGACAATAACCGAGGCGATTTTAGAAATTCAAAATAGCAAAATTAAAAAGAAGTTCGTTTTACTGGACATGTAAAAAATATTGAAAAACCTGGTAAAAATGTTAAATTTACTGACAAAAAAAGTTAGATGTTGAAAGTTAACGAACTAACTAACGAACGAAGCTAACGAACGTTGAAAGTTATAATATAGAGAACAATATTCAACAGATTTACAGTAACTTTAAAACGTATACAAGGAACCAAGCATAGATGAAACAGTTAAGCCAAGGTGTTCCTTGTGACTGGACAACAAGAATAATTGAACAAATAGTATTAATAGACATCCATATTTCAGCCGTCAGAGACGAAAATGCGACTTAACCTCTAAAAATAATACGAACAAAAGCTGAATTTTGCCGAGAATATTAGTTTTGGGACCCAAAAAAAGATGCATAACATTTTAACCACTTTTACCCCCGCGCTTCCCCCTAAAATCCCTTCGTAGGGGGAAAAAGTAGAAAAAAATCGATTTACCAAGAATCTGTACACCTTAGACGTACAATATTTCAAATAAAAAATGTAGCTAAAATAATTTTAAACAAAACTGCTTATTATCACTTTTTATGTAGAATGAACCGTTCTCGCAGTAACAACGCTTGAAGCAACCGTCGATTTTAAATGTCAGTTACTTGCGCGAAATCAATGTTCAATAAAATTTTTATCAGCTTAACAGTAAAAATTCATTACCTTTTGACCCAAATGACCGCAAGTAAACTTAGATTTTATAGAGGTGTTAAATAAATAAACGTGGCTAGATTTTTGCCATCTTTTATTATTTTCATGAGATCAATACAATATATCCCTTTTATTGACTGGCCACTATAAATATTTCGATTACTAGAGCCTAACCTTTAAAACCTATAGCATGCAATTTTAGTTTTGTGTTTTGGCAACAAATGTGATGCATTTGAAATATGCTTAAAATGCGCTGGATTTAAACTTAATAACAAACAATCTAAAACGTTAAAAATTTTTGTAGATAAAACCTGTACGTTTTAAAAAAAACTAAACTTCTGCTATAAGTTATATCCAAAACCGTCCTCTTGGAGGCATTTTCCGTGATGTGCGATCGTGTGAAATGTAAAATATTAAATTCTGCGTTTTTTATTCATATTTTAAATGCCGCATATTTGTTGCCACAATTCAAAATTAAAATTTTATGTCATAGGTTTTAAAGACTAATATTAAAAAATGGCAAACATTGCGCCACGTTTATTTATTTAACACCTTTGTTAAAACTGAGTTTATTCCCGGCAAAATACAAAAACTTCATCTGAAAGCTGTACTCTCTGCCTTTAAAACGCGTATTGACTCTTGTCGATAATGAAAGAACAGTTTATTCTACACAAAAATTGCTAATAATAGTACATTGTTTACCGAGTAGGAAAAGCTTAACATTCCTGGACGACTGTGAAGATTGCTAAGTCGAGGCGCAAGCCGAGACTTAGCAACACAGAGTCCAGGAATGTGGCTTTTCCTACGAGGTAAACATACTATTTTTCCGCAAATCGTTTAAAATTCGACAGATATTGATTGATTTAAAAAAAACGCGATAATTTTATTCCCAAATAAATGGTGCTTTGAAATTCCTAATAAAATTACTTGGGTTACTATGGAAACGTATTGAGGTTGAATTGTCAAACTTGACAATTTTTATGTAGAACACTAACAACTGTACGGAAATATCATTTCCTTACAGTAAGGAAGTCCTGACTTTTTCTTCAATAAATTTTGACAGGAATGTCAAAATTTCCTGGCGATTTGCGGAAAACATTTTTGTTTAAAATTATCTCAGCTACTTTTTTATTTCGAATATTTTTTCTATAACTTACATATTTTTATTACATCGATTTTTTTGTGTTTTACCCCCTATGACGCGGGTGAAAGCCCAGTAATAAAAGTGTTAAACTTTTTTGCATCTTTTTTGGGGTCTCAAAATTAATATTCTCGGCACAATTCAGCATGTTCCTATGATTTTTAGGGGTCAAACCCCCTGACGTCTGTACTATAAATACACAAAGTAGAACAGTAAAACAAAGTAGTAGACAAATAAGACGGTAGTAAAAAGCCGCTATGGAAGATGTTAAATATATAAGATTTAATAACACGAGACGAGAGATTGACAATAGAAAAATGAAAAAACAACTTTTATACGTATCTATGAAAGACATCTTTCTAATGATCTGTCCAGTTATTTTTAACGGGGTTTCAAGTTTGATTCAGAATAAATTAATAGGTATCTTACTTTGGAAAATCACTTTAACTACACAAATCTAAAAATATAATGGTTAAAAACCAGAGAAAGGGAAATAAATAATATAAAATTGTGCTATTAAAAATACTTAGAAAACATTAGATATTAAGTATTTTATGTGTTAAGTTCTAAAAGCTGGTTAAGAAGTTTTTAAAACTAAGAAAATAATTGAATAAAATATTTTAAATTACTTTTGTTTTGAATTCTCCAGCGTGTGGATGTTCTTTTTCATGACGTTCAATGAAATGATGGTCGTTTCCTCTTTTGTGTCCATGTTCTACATGATCTTTAGCAGGGACGTGAATATATCTGTTAGTAAAAGAAAGAAAATATATTAGTAATAAAGTAGATACAAGGTAACTAATAGTGTTAAGTTGAAGAAGTTAGAAGATAATATAGTAATACGAAAGAAGTTGAGAAAAATAAATATTTATTTAATGAATGTAAGGAAAATATGTCTTTTACTCACAATCTGTTATACGTTATTATTAAAGTTATTAAAAGAAAATGCGCTACTGGTTTCGCTGTTTACAAACTTTTACAGCATCTTAAGCCCTCTAGAAACTAAGGATAGTACAATTCTAATCTATACATCAAAAATATAGATGCATAGATTAGAATTGGACTGACATCCTTAGCTTTTTGAAATCCTGAAGATGCTGTAACAGTTTGTAAACAGCAAAGCCGGTAGCCCATTCTCTTTTACCAACTGTAATAAAAATCTATAACGAATTGTGAGTAGAAGACTTATTTCCCTAATATTCATCAATATGTGCTCACACCAGCAACGTTTACATCATTTAAAGAAGTATAATGTTGTACTCTACTACACTACATTTTAACAAATATACAGTTAGGAGTTAGAACAACCAATACACTAATATCTATTTTGTCCATCTATTTATGACTAAATCTATTAATGAACAAAAAAGTGCTAACGATTGTGTTTAATTAAAAATTTAGTGTAAAAATTCAAGACTTAAGAATTCTTGAGTTAAAATGAATCAACATTACTTTTCAATCAAAACATAATATTTCATTTGAGCCATTGTATGCAAGTATATATATATATATATATATATATATATATATATATATATATATATATATATATATATATAATGTGCTATGGTAAGATTAACTATCGATATATACACATACTGTATTAAAATTAGAATAACCACAGACAACCAAACCTGCGAGCTAAATAGACGAATCACGTTGAGATAGGCGGCATATGGAAGGATGAGAGACATTTTTAAAACAAATATCCCAATTCACCTGAAAAGGAAGTCATTTAACCAATGCATCTTACCAGTCTTGACCTATAGAGCAGAGGCCCTAACTTTAACAAAAGCTACTGCCGAAAAACTGAGTGTAACACAAAGGCGAATGGAGAGATCAATGCTGGGCATGACCTTGAAAGATCGCATGAGAAATGAGGAGATACGCCGACGAACTGGCGTAGACGATATTATACTGCGAATCAATAAACAAAAGTGGAGGTGGGCTGGACATGTTGCTAGAATGGAAGACGGAAGATGGACGAAGAGATTATTGAAGTGGAGACCAAGAGCCGACAAGCGAAGTCGAGGCAGACCACCCACCCGATGGACCGACGACCTAAGGAGAATATAAACAAACTGGATTGCAGCAGCTAAAGATAGAGAGAACTGGAGACGTTTGGAGGAGGCCTATATCCAACAATAGATGTGAAAATGGGGATGGATGATGATGATGATGATGATGGTAAGATTCATGTATATATTGAGAGATGAATATTAGGCAATATATTTATTACGCCCAGAGCGTATTCGTGTTTTATTATTAAGTTTTATTCGTGATTTGAAAATAGTCTTACTAAAGAAGGCCCTAAACGTAGTAACGAATGTGTTTTTCTTGCTTGTATATTCAAATGACACAACGTCAAGTTTTAAAACTGCATGGTGATATTAGTCAAATAAAATATCTTCTTTTTCTTCTTCCTCTTTATTACAAGCAATTCTGTTTCTTCATTGGCGGATTAATATCTCTATGGAAGGTTGTCACATCATCATTTGCGCGGTCGTCTGATACTTCTGCCGATTGGTGATTTATCTCTTACTATTTTGGCGACACGGGTCTTCCCCATTCTGCTTACGTGGTTGTTCCACTCTTTTTTTTTATCTAGTATCCATTCGTTTATACACTGTACTTCTATTGTACATTATTTTCTTATAATATCTTTACTTCTCTTTCGATCTCTTAGCCTTGTATTCCCTGTAATTCTTCTCAGAGGTATAGTCATCATCACAGTCATTAACATCTTAGTAGATGTGTTGTGGTTCATAATTGGGCTTCAGCAGCTCGGACAGTTTGATTGATAATATTTCTCCACTGGTCGCGGTCATCAGTTATATGTATTGTCTCAGTATACTGTTTATTGAGAAGCTTTTTAGTAATGTCCGCCCATCGCTGTGGAGATCTTCCGCGTTGGCGTTGAGTCTGAGGCCTTCCTTGGACCACCAACCGTTCCATAGTGGTATAGTATAGTAGGTACTCAGTTAATTTTGCCATTTTTTATCGAAAGAAATTTGACTTCAGATAGTTACGAAATGTTACTTACAAATGAAATTGTACCTACACTCACAAACTTGTTTGGTGCTAATTTTAATTAGATATGGGTAAGATGGAGCTCCAGCTCATTTTGGAGTAAATGCTCGGGGTTATTTAGAAGATATATTTCCAGGAGAATGGATCGGTAGACGAGGTAGAATTGAGTGGTCTCCAAGTTCACCTGATTTCAATCCTAAAGATTATTTTTATTAGGTATACTTGAAAAATTTAGTTTACAAAACTAAACCAGCAAGTCTTGCTGGTTTAGTTAGAATTCTTGCTGGTAGAACTAAGGCAGCGAAAAATCGATGAATCTCGAATAAATTCTAGATAATCCTGGAAAAATGTGGTAGACGTATTCTACCATCGATTAGGGTACTGTTAACTCACAAATTGAGCACATTTCGAACACTTAATAACGTAACTACTATGTTAAAAGATGTTCTAAACTATCAATTGTTACGTTTTAATGTATTTGAAAATAGTTAGTAAAAAATGTCAGACTTCTGTTTTATGTACTTAAGGCGGAGATTCCAATAATGAGTGAATATACAGGGTGATGAATTTGAAAAACCAAAGTTACTAATAATATAAGAGAAACAACAAATCTGGCAACATTGGAAATATCAAATATAGAATCTCCGTATACCAAAATAGGTGCACCTCAAATTTTGTATAATTATGTCTGGTAATTTACGAGATAATTGGCCGTTTCCAGACTTTTGGGCCACTCTGTATAAACCCACATTTGTATTCAAATTTAAATATCTTTTTTACGTAGCCGTAGATTATAATCTATATAGCCGTATTGTGAATACATTCCCATAATTTCACCAAAGCTCGAAACATTAATAAAGCTTAAATATTTTCAATGCATATGAAGTTCTTTCCATTTATTATACACAAAAGGAAATAGCCATTTGGCTGCTAATTGCGATAAAATATTTGCGGTGCTAATTATGCATTTTAAAACAATATACAGAATTCTAAAAAATATAATTTTTAATATTTTACTTGACAAAAAGGAAACGATGTTTGTGTACATTGTTAGTATACCAAGACTAAGCAATATTAAAACAAAGTGTGTATATATTAAAAAATATTGTAAATTACATATATATGTTAATTTCTAAGGTATATAAATTATAATGTTACATAATCATAGCTAAACATATAAATTAAATAGGTAGATAAACTATAAATATAGAAGAAGAAGAAATTCATATTAAGTATCCACTATTTTATCTAATATTTTGTCATATCTTACAGATGTTAGTAAGCTAAAAGAAATGAGGGTAACATGCTTAAATTAAAATTTTGTTTAACCTTTCCTTGGTGTTTCAGAGTCTCTAGGTTTAGTTTTTCATAGCGCTGTTCCCAGTCATTCGGTGTTTCTCTTACATGTCCAAATTCAAGTTCATCCGGCTTTTCCATTGCCACATAAATATCCCTATGATAAATATATTTATCTTATAGTTGTTTTTTTATTACATATTTCATTAGATGGTAAGAAACAAATGTGGTTTTAAAAAGACGAATTTCTCAGGTTTAGAAATTCAACTGGTTTCTTCTATTTAAACTAGGAATTTAGACAGGAAAGAACCTCAGGTCTTTAAAGGTATCATTTTAATAGCGGCAATAGGAGTTTAAAGTTATATATGTTTATAATTATTACATTTTAATTACATTTTTTATGTTGTTGTTTTTAGATCTACATCTTTCATTTTTTAAACAATAAACGATTATATTCTGAATGAAATTTTTTGACGCATATAGTGTATAATTGCCATAGTGTTTTTTCCATTATGTCTCCAGTTTATCTACTTAGTTCATTAAAGGACCTCGTACAAACCGCCCGGCACAATTCACCCTTACGAGTATAATTGGACTTTGAGAATGTAATCAGCGGAGGTATTTACTCTGTCGTTGAGATTATTTCTAAAGGTCATTTGGAGGTCAAAATGGCTTCTTTATGGAAATCAGCAATCAGTCCTCAAATTTTGGTTTTTGGGTTCTGTGCCTAATGAAACTTTTGTTCTACACATCGAATACTACAACATGGCAAAGTTTGGGTAGATTTAACAGAGGGCATTTTTCCCTAAGGTTTGTGCGCGGTCTTCTCTAAAGTGTTGGAGGTAATCTATATACACTATAAAATTTTGTAAGAGAAATATAGAGCTGGAATTTTATTTACAAAATATCAAGTTCGCACTTTTTCTGTTTCTCGTTAATATTTCTTTCATCTTCAAATAATTCAGAAATGTAGTTTTTTTAATTATTCACGGATATCTAATATTCTGTAACGATTTTTAACTTTTAAACTTTTAATTTCTGGTACAGGTGGAATGCATCGTATTTCTTTGTTTCTTGAACAGTTATTCATCTTTCATTCATGTCCGCTGTTTCATTTTGATTCTCGTCCTGGTTTCCACAGTACTTTTCTTTTTACTTGATGTCCTTTATTATTTGTTCTAGAAAATTGGTTATTTTTTGCTTTACGGTAACATTTAACATTTTTTTCTTAATCAACAGTAACTTTTTGCTTATTAGCCTTTGGAATTCTTTTCAATCTCAGTCTTATTATTCCAACCAAAATATTGTGATTTGTTGGTACATCTGTGCTTGGATTTTGACTACTCATAATGAGTTTCTGTATCTTTTAGTTATACATATGAAGTCTATTTGGCTACAAATCACACATTCAGATGTATTTGCTGGAGATCTCTAAGTGTAAAGACTACGTTTTGGAAATTTAAAAATTGTGTTTGTTATGACTTGTTACTTTACTATATAAAAATATACTAAAATATCTCCTGTTTCATTTTGTATTCCGAAACTATATTTTCCTGTAATATATACCTTCCTACTCTCATTCGCCAATCTTCTCATTAATATCTCTAATGACAATATTGAGCTCCTGTTTTCCAATGCTAATACTACATATTTCTAAATCATGATATAATCTTTTAATTTCTTCTTCTTCATAGTCTTATATCGGTGCATATGCTTGTAGTACATTCACATGTATAGTTGTTGCTTGCATTTGTAACATCAGCATCCTGTCTAAAAATAGGACGACGTTTTTTACAGCTTTATCTGTTTCCTTTATTATTACAATTATTGCTACGCAATGTTTTTGTTTTGAACTGTTTTCTTCTAAAGTGTATACAATGTGAATGTCTATAGTTACTTTTTCAGACTTTTTTCAGAGCAGTCGTTATATTTAGCCGCTTCATTTTTTTATGTGGTTGTGAACCTTTCCTGGTTCTAATATAAATCTTAGATTTATATACTTACCTATGTTTCTTTCTTAGTAAATATATTCATGCTTCATGTAGGGAGATTTTTTGCGCTCGGTTTAAGGAGCGCCTAGACTCGGTGTATTTATCAGCCATTTCCAAGAATGTTTCTTGGGAAAGCTAGACTCTAGGTGGTTTTCCGTTGCCTTCCTAGAGTGTGTTTTAGAACGAGATTGAATGACAATATACACCAATAGAATGAGAGCCAATAATAAAGAAAAATAGGCAATATGCCTAGATAAGAGAGGAATAATAAAAAGAAAGAACGAATAGACCCAGTTAATTTATAACACAGATTTATAGTCTTCATTAAGTTTCTTGTATTGCAAAAATGTGGAAACGATCTATAAATATCTCACAAATGGAACATGTTAAAGTATTCAAATTTAGAAGTAGTAAAATATTGGAATGAAGTGGAATAATTATGGGCGGTAGAGCCAATGTCGGTTTTTAATAACAGCTTTCTAATGGCTCAGTAGCAGTTACTTAATGTATTTTTTAACCTATCGTGTTTCCATTTGCTAACGCTTTGGTCAATACTTTTACTTTATGTATAATAATACTCACTCACATGTCGTACACATGGTGACAAGCTGGTTGACCAACGAGGGAGTTAATGTGTTGACATAGCCAGAACAACCCTCGAAAAATAAAATTTTAATTATGGAAGATGGATATGAAGCTATAAAATATAAACGTAGGTATTGAACATAACTTTTTAATATTAACATTTTTTGTGTTAACTAAAAATACTCTCCAGCAATAGGGACAAGCTCTTGAAGAAAAAATATGAAAACAGAGTATCATCTGTGATGTGCATTTACAGATGGTAAAGTTATTGGGAAACGTAATAGAATTAGGGTGGGATAGATGAAATGGAAGTTGAAGTTGAAATGAATGGTTGGTGCTGAATCATATACCCAGAAAAATACTAATTAAGTTTGTTATCACAGATAACTAACTTGACTGATATATCTATTAACAACTAACCTACTTTAATAATAATTTTCATTAACTAAAAAAGATAACATTTCCTTGCTTCTCTTAGATACATCTCAATAAGATATTATTATAATAATACATGAACAATATACTAATTAAAAAAGAATTTCAATTAAGAAAATTCTAAACTAATATCTCCCCAGACTGGGATCTAACTTCATCGGTTTTACCAATGAACCTTAACGACATAAATATTCAAAAATACTTCTTGTAATTGTCAGCGCTTGCGTTCTAAGAAAACATAACCTCACATTCAAACTTTATAACAATAAAAAATTTAGTTTCATTTTGAACTAGAGAAAAAAGCATTTTGAATGTAAACATTAGCTGAACTTTTAGCTTTTAATCTATTTATAACTATTTAAAAATATGACTTACTGGAAAAATTTGCTTCCAGACTGCACAGCTGCGGCTGGATTGATAAAACCGGTTTCTGCGGGCACATGATCCTCTTTTTCTACAGCTGTTGTTGCATGATTTACTTGCCTTTTGACAGGGATCTGTTGTGCCGCCAAACCACCCAGATAAATCACTGTTATTACGGCTAGCTAAAATAAATAATAAAATTATTTTATTTATTTACATATTTGGATAAGATAGTGTCAGTGACGGATCTAGACATCTAGATCTTTTCCTTTGGAGGAGGGAACTATAATGAAATACCAACAAAAAGACTTCTTAGGGGGGCGGGGGTAGGAGGCGGGAATTTAGACCCTCAATCTAAAGAACATCTACTCAAAATCTATAACGTAATCCTATCCAGAAACGTGTTTCCTAAATCATGGAATCACGTCATAATACCTATTCTAAAACCAACTAAACCAAAATCAGATCCACAAACATACAGACCGATATTACTCACATGTAGCATAGGTAAAGTATTAGCAAAGATAATAAACAATAGGCTTATAAGGTATTTAGAATCAAACACATTAATTATTCCAGAACAATGTGGTTTCCGAAAACATCGCTCAACTTTAATCAAACTTGTTGACTTAGATTCAGAAATCCACTCAGCAACTGGTTAATAAGGGGTAACATATTAAAATACATTTCAAATTTTCTTGAAAACAGCCAATTTTAAGCTCGAGTTGACGGAACACATTCTCAAACAAAAATTCAACAAAATGGTATACCAAAAGGATCGAAACTAAGTACAACTTTATTCTTAGTAGCAATACATTAGATATTAGAACAAATTGAAAACCCTGTGAAAGCTAGATTATATGCTGACGACCTAGTTATCTTCTGTAGAGAAAAAAACATAAAAACGATTCACAATCACATTCAAAAAGCGTTAACACACATTGAGAAATGGTCAGCTACAAGTGAACTTCAGTGTAACACTTCAAAAACGAAAGCAATATGTTTCTCAAAGAGAAATCAAATCAAAACAAAAGAATTACATCTACACGAACAAAAACTAGATTATGTAAAAGAAATACGATTCTTGGGTATGATGTTTGATAAAAAATGTACTTGGAAGACACATATTTAATAGCTGAAAAAATCCTGTCTACCGAAATAACCGAAATAATCCAGTACTGCATAACATTTTTGCTGATCGATGTACAAATAAATTTCAACAATTAATTTGATCATCATTTTTTACTTTCGTATACAATCATACTTTTCCAAATTAAATTTTCAATTTCCAAAAACCTGTGATACCCTTTAATCCACAACCCTGCACCATGGACAATATCTATGCCTGCTATCGACATCAGTCTAACAAACCTAAGAAAATCAAAGAAATCATCAATCGTCATTAAACAAAAGTTTCATACACTAATGAAACATATATGGCAATACCTACAACGTATACACCGATGCGTCAAAACATGAAGACAGAGTTGGGGCAACAATTTATTCGGAAGACTCCTCAGTTAGTTTCAAATTGTGGTCAATTACAACCATCTTTTCAGCTGAATTATTCGCAATTCTAAAGGCACTATCGTTAATACAAAACAAAAACACAGAAAGTTATATAATATACACAGATTTTCTCTCAGATTCATTATTCTCACTGACTCACTTGACGTGACAACCTTTTCACTTCTTATTAAAAAAGAACTTAAAAACATTTCAAATTAGAACATTCAAGTTCACTTTTTATGGGTACCTTCTCATGTCAGAATTGAAGTTAACAAAGTTGTAGATAAATTGGCTAAAAACGCAACAACTAACCTATGTCTGAAGAAAGGCGATATTGGGCAAACCCGTCAACTGCTTTAATCTAGAATTTGTTCTCATAAATATGGCAAGAACATTATCACTGCGCTCATAAAACATGAAAATGGAAAGAAACATAAATTTGACTTTGAAAACATCAAAATTTTAAAAACCGAGAAATAAAAATAAGAGTGAGATATACGAATCAATAGAAATAAAAGAATACCAAGCAATTATAAAAAGATACAAGAACCTAAATAAATATATTTAATCTGATTTAAATAATAATATAATTTAAATAATATATAATAAAGTCATAACATATCTCTACTTTATCATTTTTGAAAACACCAACGATACCCTCATATAAAAAATTATATTTTAATGACAGTAAACCATGAGATATCAGATATCAATTTTAATTTCTGTCAATCCATTAATGTCAGTGTCCCTTTTGACGTTTTAGTAAGTTTTTAACATATTACAATAATTTTTTGTTCGCAAACTTGTACAGTTTAGAATCTTGACAAAGGCAAGGGTTTTCTGCCGAAACGTTGATTTCAATGGACGATAAAATATATATATATATATATATATATATATATATATATATATATATATATATATATATATATATTTAAATATGTTTTGGAGTCAATAAAAGGGCTATTAGGTAACTGTTTTTGATCTCGAGCCTTCAGTTGTGTTTACAATTATCTTACAAAGTGAAACTAGAAAAAAAATTATATTAACTCACCAAATAAAATTTGGAGTTTTGTTAATAAATTGCTGTTTCAAACATATTTCTAAAAACTATTCTAAAAAAATTCTTATCTAATAAATGTTTCTCTTAAATTTTGTAATATAATTTTGAAAAACTTTTTGAATAAAAAAATTGAATTTATAAATAAGTTAGAATAGCGACCAATTACAAATAAGCTTCAATGTCATGAATACCAACTTAAAATTTTTATTTTTGACAATTATATTGCCAAAAAATAAAATTTTGTTTTAAAAATTTTTTTTATTTAGCAATAAACGGTTTTTTATTAGTATTTAGTTTTTTTTTGTTTTCTGTAAAACAAAAATTGGTTTAACTATTGCTTTTCAAAGTTTGCTTACACTCGTGATTAGTGACTCAAGCACTTTTAACTACACCATTTAAAAAAACATGTAAATGTTTGTAAATGTTTTAACCTACAAAATAGTTGCTCTTAAAAAACCTACAAAATAGTTTTTTAAACACTTCATTTTGATTAATAATTATTGTATATTAGAGTTTTAATTAAAAAAATACTACAACTATTCGAATTTCTTCGCAAAGGGTGGTTTTTATAAGGGTAGAAATTATGTGGTAAAAAACATAAAAAAATGTATGATTTTTTTATAGAAGTGGTTTTCACTCCTAAAATATAAAAATCAATCAACATGACATAGGTTTAGTTAAAACTATTCTAGGATATGAGATTTAGGAGTTAAACTGTGATAAAACCTTAAATTATGTTGTTTAATGTTAATTAACATTCATTTATTTCGTTAAAAGATGATTTGAATCAATTATCCGCTTTAATTTACAATTATACGATATTTTTCTAATAGGGGTAGTTTTCGCCACTAAAAAGTAATAAACAAACAAATGGCACATGCCCAAAAGTGAAATGTAGAGTGAGTAGAAGTACTTGTACTGCTATTTGAATGTGGATTCAGCTTGCTGATGCACATGTTCATTATTTCAATTATTATTTATAACTGGGAATAAGCCACAATTAAAGATAAAAATACGTTTATTGACGTTTCAATTTCCAATTCGGAAATCGTTCTCAAAATACAAACATTGTATTTTGAGAACGATTTCCGAATTGGAAATTGAAACGTCAATAAACGTATTTTTATCTTTAATTGTGGCTTATTCCCAGTTATAAATAATAATTAATTTACAATGCCACAAGAAAATAGCTTCAGAACAATATTCATTATTTCAGAATCGGAGTTTTTAAGAGTTATAAAATTTAAAAATAAAATAGTAAATCCTTAATAATGAGAGCAATATCTCTTTAAAAAAATTTAAATTAAATAGAAATAGTTTAAAGCTAACACGTAATTAACATCTTTTGTATATATTCTGAAGGTATAAATACTCACAAAGTGCAAAGAAATGATTTATTACTAAAATTGTTACTTAATTTTAAGTCGTTTAGGATACAATAAACATATTTAAAGTTTATGAAACACTAATGTATTTTGATTTCTCACAGAAAATAATATGATTTATTAAATCTCCATAGACTGGAGTGGAAGGACATGGCCTCTATGTCATAGATCGGAAATAAACGACGACTGAACAAAATATATGGCGATGGTAAGAACAGGAGATTAAAATCATTGGGGACAGTTATTTAAACTATTTAACCTAAATAAGAATTGTGAAGTGAATTGTAAATTAAAATTCTGGAAACAATGTAACAGTAGAATCATTTACTACTTACCAGAAAAAGGCAAATAATTATGTGAAAAATAGACCAATCATACTTTTAAATTGTATATACAAAGTTTTGGCAAATTTAGTAAATAAGAAAATTACAAAATGTGCAGAAAAATATATTAGAAGACTTCTTCTTCTTCTTCTTTAGCCTTCATTTATCCATTGTTGGACATAGGCCTCCTCCAATTGCTTCCACGCTTCCCTATCTTTTTCAATTCTCATCCACTGTTTTCCAGCTACAGCTGGTGTCTTATCTTGGTACATGTGCTACCCATTGCCATCTCAATGTCGCTATTTTTCCCATGATGTCGGTTAATTTAGTTCTTCGACGTATTTCGGTGTTAGGAATTTTGTCTCTGAGACTTATATTTAACATGGCCCACTCAATGCCCCGTTGAGTTACTCTTAATTGTTCTGCCATTTTTCTTGTTATTGCCATAGTTTCCAACCCATAAGTTGCAACTGGTAGTACACAAGTGTCATAAGATTTTCGTTTTAAGTGAATTGGGTTTTTTTGTCTTTTAAAATGAAGCTCAACTTACCAAAAGCAGCCCATGACAATTGTGTCCTTCTTTTAATTTCTAGGGTTTGGTTTTTCTTTTCGTTTTTAATTGCATGTCCCAGATATGGTCTACCTGTTCTACATTGATGTTAACTAGCGTGATGTTTTCTAGGCTGTTGCTTAATATCTTTGTTTTGTCGAGATTCATTTTTAATCCTATTTGATTCGATTTGTGATTTAAATCATGTAGCATTGATTTCAGTTCATGGCGTATGTCGTCTGCGAAACGCAAATGGTTAAGATATACTCCATCTACTTTTAATCCCTTTTCGGCCCAATTTAGTTTTTTGAAAACATTTTCTAATGCCAAAGTAAATAATTTGGGTGAGATGGTGTCGCCCTTTTTCACACCTTTGCCAAGGTTTTCATAGTTTTCAGATCATCATCTATTTTTACGTGAAAAGTAGCATCATCGTATATATTCTTAAGCAGGGCAGCATATCTTAAATCTACTCTGGCGTCGTCCAATGCTGTTAAAAAACCCATTTCTCGATACTGTCGAATGCTTTGTGATAATCGACAAATGCCAGATGTAGTGGTATGTTGTACTCTATTGTTTTTTCAATAACTGTCCGGATTGTTTGCAAGTGATCGATAGTGCTAAAACCCTTACGAAAGCCTGCTTGCTCCACTGGTTGGTATGCATCTAGTTTAGCTGTCAATCTATTTGTTATTATTCGGGTTAGTAGTTTGTATAGGTGTGACAATAAGTTTATTGGTCGGTAGTTTTCTATATTTGCGGCGTCCCCTTTTTTATGGAGTAGAATGACTTCCGCATTTTTCCATGTCTTTGGTATTTGTCCTTCCAATAGGCATTTATTCAGTAATGCTCGCATTGCCTCTTCTAATGCAGTGCCTCCCATTTTTAGCATCTCCGAAGTAATTTTATCTTCACCTGGAGTTTTCCCATTTTTCATTTGTTTTACGGCGGCTCTAATTTCTGATGTTATTATTTCAGGGAGATCCTCTAAGCCCATATTTAAGATATATTTTGTTGGTATATCAGGGTTCGGAATAGTAGAAGTATATAGCTTCTCATAAAATTTTCGGATTTCTCTATCGATCTCTTCCTTATGCGAGCACAATGTTCCACGGTCGTCTTTTATCTTTATGATTTTACTGCTGCCAATGGATTTATATGTTTTCAGTACCTTCATGTTCTTATTGTTCTCTATGGTTTCAAGAATCTGGTTTGTTCTATAAGCTCTGAGGTCTTTTCGAATATTTTTCTTAACGCTTTTGTTGAGCGCTTTGTAGTCCGGGTTATCTCTGTCCGTTCTTCTTCTTTTCTCTATATGTTTTAGAGTCTCGGGTTTTAGTTTAGCTTCTTTTTGTTTTCTTATTCTGCAACAAAGTTTCTTAGTGACTGTTTGTATGTCTTTAGTTATTTTCTCTGCTACTTTATCTATATTCTTGTGCTCACAGGTATTTGCTACTAGTTTCCGTGCTAATTCCTCTTGGTATTTCTCTTTATTACTGGCTAGGATGTCTGCCGTCGGTAAAGGGTTTGCTGTTAATAGTTTCCGTCTTTCTCTCTTTACGTTAATACGTATATCAGCACGAACTAGTCTATGGTCACTGCCGGTGTTAAATTTGTTCAACACCTCGATGTTTTTACATATTGATCTATCACTGGAAAGGATCAAATCTATTTCATTCTTAACCTGACCGTCAGGGCCACCCCATGTCCACTTTCTTTGTATTTGTTTTTTATAGAACGTGTTCAGGCAAAACATTTTTTCGGTGCTTACGTAATTAGAAGACTACCAAAATGGATTTATACCACGAAGATCGACAATAAATAATAAATTCTTTGAAATCAATTTTAGAACAGTCTTGGGAATATGATATAGAACAGGGAAGTACATGTCGGTATTTACTACGATGTAATAGTAGCAGAACCCTATCTCCACAACAGTAATTAAAATGGAATTTGATCAAATACTAAGAAAAACAAATACGAATAAGAAAAATATGTGTATAAATAACATACATATATTTATTGAATAATTATGTTATGCAGATGATTTAGTAGTTATATGGAAAACAAAGACTAGCGTCATCAAAGCAATTCATTAACTGTAAGCTTAAGCCAAGAAATATGGATTACAAATATAAATAAAAAGAACACGGAAAAGAATACGAAAGTAAGCAAAAACAAGATAACAAAGAGGGGCACCTGAAGATCGACAGCTTAAAATTTGGAAAACTTAAAAAAAAAAGAATTCAAGAAATAATTGTAAAGGGAAACTAAGCCCTCGGAAGAAACAGAAAGATGCTTAAAAACGGAAAATTTTAAAGTAAAATAATAAGAATGATTGTAGGATTTGACACCATACCATAAGGAGAAAGAAGATAAAAAAACAAGACAGACCGAGAGTGAGGAAACGAAAAGTTAAAGAGTAGTTAAATCAAAATTCTTGCAATGGGTAGGACACATCACCAACAAACCGACAAACGAGATGAACCCCAATTCAAAAATACAGAAATAAATTAAAAATTTATTTTTTTAAATATGTTACCACGATCATTAGACTGAGATTTGGACATGCTTGTTACCCCAAACATTTATTTAAACTCAAGGTTTTAGATAATGATCGATGTGAATTTTGTACAGAAGAAGGAAACCTAGATCATATATTTTTCAGTTGCCCCAGAAATACTATAATTTCAGCCAGATTAATAAATAACTTACATAAATACAATATATTAGACCCTTGGAACCTTCAGTACTTATTATCACTAGACTCGAGAGCACTGTATGATTCCTTAGTTATGTTTTTAAAGGATAGTAAAATAACCACGTAAATAATTATGCATTAGTTAATAACGTAACCTTTGTTTCTAACCCAATTGTCAAATTCCCCTCTTACCGTGGTCTAGTGTTGTATGTCTTAAAAAAAAAATGCCTTGATGGGCCCCTAGGCGAGAAGAGAGTGACAATGTTTACCTATTCTTTGTTTTTTATATTTATTAATATAAACTCAGACAACTATTTTTTACCATGTTGAGTCTGGCTGAATGACTAAAAGTCTATGCAAAAAAAAATTAAAAATTCCCCGACACACATAATAAGTTGCAATCAAAACAGTGAGGGCGAATTCACCTCAGAAAAAGTTAGATACTACGAAAAAGCGTAAGCCATAATCCGAAGGTGACCATGATTTAAATAATCAAGTTAGTTTTAGCACAAAAAAATCGATAATAGACAATTATCAAATTTTTACAATGAAACAGAATTTGGTCAGTTAACATGTTAATCAATTTCGGTTCATTTAAGATACAATTTGATATAACTGAACGAAATATATGGGGATGAGTACCATTAAGTGCAATTATTTAAAATATTTAAACCAAATTAAAATTGCAATCTTGAAATTGCTAAACAATTCAATTTTTTGGGAGTAACAGTAATACACAAATATAAAAAAACAACTTTGAAAAAATAGCGTTCACAGGTTATTAGGAACGCCAGGAGTTAAAATATGATATTAAGGCTGAAAGGAATCGAACAGAAATGTAAAACAAAACTTAATATAACACTGCTTAAAGTTTTACTCCGGCAAGGGATTGAAGTCAGGATAAAACAACAATAGAAATATTCTCCAGTCTACTCCGGTCAAATATTAAATAATAAAAAAATATATATTATAGCAAAGTTAATCTATTCCCACTTTAATAGCGCATAATAAAAGTTTAAATCCTTTTTAAATGAAAAATATGCTTTTCAGGTTTAACATAAAGGACTAGATTTATTCAATGGTAGTTCAATTTAATTCACTATTGGCTGAGATATAAAAATACACATAAAATTAAAGAAATGTTTTTCTGTATACACAGATACACAGATGCACCAAATGACAAAAAAGTTAAAACAGAATTAATTCACTTCACTTATGATTATTGAACATGCATATTGCAAATTCAGTCAATAACTTTATTTACAATTTAATAGTAAGACTACCGAAATCCGGATCTGCTATTAATAATAGAAAAATGAAACACAACTACTGTTGTACTAAATTACCTTGAAAGTCATTTTGATGCACTTAAATCTGTTGAACGTCGTGACTGAAACTGCTGTTATTGTTAAACATTTTTCCTTTTATAGAATTGGCCAAGCGTCGCGAATGTGCTGATTTCCAGAGGCGTCACTTCGTGAGTACTTCCACCGATTTAAAAAGTTTCCAGTGCTTGATTTCATTTTGAGTTTTGTATTTGTAAATTCTTAGTGTAAAAAATATTTTGATTTAGCAATTAAAATTTTACAATCGTAATATGTGTAATAAAGTGCAGTAGAGTTATTGAGGAGTTGAACAATAAAGACTACTACACATATATTTAGTTATACATGTTATCAAGAATAAAGTGGAGTTTCGATTATTCCAACTAATTGGGGGACATGGGTATTCGGAAATTTTTGTTTTCGTATAATCGAACTGTATTATTGATATGCACTGAATAAAAAGACACAGAGAACTTTTGATCACCAGGAGAAAGACAGCATATTTGAGGCACACACTTAGAAATTAGAAGTAAGAGTTGTTAGAGATAATTATGAAGGGTAAAGACAAAGAAAAAAGGGGTACTGGTAGACGACAAATATCTTGGCTTAAAAACATTCGCAACTGGACCGAGTTGAACACATAGACGCTTTTAAGAAAAGCAGCCAGATAGAGACGAACTTGCAATCGGTATAGCCAACCTTCATTATTGGTGTCGGCACTAGAAAAAAAAAAAGATTATTACTAGTTGTACTATGTACAGCCATACATAGTTTCCTATGGGTGCATGAAAACCATATTTACGTATCTAAATATGTATTTATATCTTTAATTACAAATAGGTATTAAACAACAAAGTGCAGTCTTTGCAACGAAACATATTCTAGGTACAATATTAACTAAAATTAAAGATTTTTTAAGCGTTAATTAGTAACTCTTAAAAAAATCTTTAATTTTCGGGTTGTCAAAGCAAATCTAACCTTTTACAAGCAGCTAGATTAAACGAACAGGTCTTTCTCATTCCGTCATCAATGAGTTGAAGCGTGATCATGAAGTAATAATGTTTTCTTCCTTTTGCCATTTTTAATAGATGGGCTTCAACAGAGAATATAAAAGTTTTTATAAACCATTTTATTAAAATTGTACTATCTGTATAAGCACTCTTTTGCAAAATGTAAACGATAGATATCGCAGACATATGTTTAAAACAACGTGGTTTTATGTTTCAACAATTACAAGCGTTGGTAATCAGTGGCTGCCAGTCGCATTAGCACAAGCTAGAGTAGTGATACTATCCTTGCTCATTTTAGCTTCAGGTGCTGCTAATTCACGAGGTGATGCAAGAGTTTTTCATGGCAAAGCTTTTCATTAAACCCAGCATTGTAAACGTTTTCGAGAGCGTAACTTTCTTTCTTCAGTAACTCTCTTAATTTCATTTAGAATTAATCTGCTGCTGATGAACCAGCACAGTTTTTATCCTTGCATTTGAAGCTTCGCCTGAGTTGTCTGATGGGCGGATTAAGTAGCTCATCAGATGACACTGCCGCTCCCAAGCCCAGATAAAAGAGGAGGGTCCCTAAGGTGAGGTTAGCCACCTACCTGCGGTATAGAATTAAAACTGGCTCACAGAACTAAAGATACAGCCTCGGATACCGGACGGAACTATTAGATGACGACACGCTCTCTCTATGACAACGGAAAAACGAATTGGTAAACGAAAACCTAAACATCTCATCACAGGAATCGCGTGCTGGAACATAACGTCGTGGAACGGAAGAGACCAAGATATGCGCAATCTCCGAAACAAAGAAAAAAGGCCAAGGAACATCGAAATTTGGAACGGAACGGAAAGTTTACACTCATATACAGCGGAAAAGCTAAACAAGAAAGAACACATTCAGGAGTTGGAATATTGCTGCACGATAAATACACGCAAAGCATCGAAGATATCGAATACATAAACGATAGATTATTAAAACTCTCTATAAAAATATTTAACATCACAACACACCTGATAAGCACATATGCCCAGACCTCACAGATTTAAGCACACAGCAGAAACTGAAAATTTCTATCAGCAACTACAAAACACCGTAGATAACATAAATGCTAAACACAAAATTATCGTATTCGGATAACTTAATGCACGGATCGGAAAGGATGTAATACCAGGTGTAAAACAAAAATACAACGAAGAAATAATTAATAAAAACGACAAAGCAATAATAGACTTTTCGCTAGAAATTAAATGAGAATTAACAACACATACTTTTCTCATAAAGACCAACATAAATTCACTTTTAACAATAATCGACGCTAGCGATCAATAATAGATTTTATAATCACAAATCGAGTGATAACACCGTCACAAGTACTTGATGTCAGAGACCTAACATCTGCTAACTTAGGGACCAATCACAACCTTGTTTTATGCAAGATGCTAATTGTCGCTAGCAACAGAGAGTACAAAACTCCTTTATGAGAACAGGATTACCAGCAAACTAAAGGAAGTAGAAGATACTTGGCAAAAAAATCAGATAAACCAGAAATGGATAAACTACACCAAACCGTACTTTTGTCAAGAGGTAAAAGAACTCTATAAATTAAAACGCAAATTCTACCTGAGATATAAAAGGACACAATTTGAAGAAGCTCTCACAGAATATGTCCAAGTACGAAACGAAGTAAACCCAAGAATAAAATCAATCAAAAGAGAACATTGGGCTAAATACACCAATGACATGGACTACGACCTACATGGTGCCCAAAAGAAAGTATGGAAAATGCTTCGGAACAGGAAAAAACCAGTTAACGAGTTCGTGCAGACCAAAGAAGTACCTATAGAGACATGGCAACAGTATTTTAAGGAGCTATATGATGCTGAAGAAACGCTGAATATAAATGAATACGAAGCAGATATAGGTGCTACAATCAATAACGAAGTGGTAGAAGCAAAGATCAAAAAGCTAAATAACAGAAAATCAACTGAAACAGATAGTATATCCAATGATCTCTTAAAATATGGAGGCCCTGAACTTGCAAGTAAACTGTCACAACAACTATTTAACAAAATCTTAAACGACACAGAAACACCAGAGGAATTGCATAACAGCATCACAATCCCATATTTAAAAAAGGACAAAAACTTGCCCATAAAACTACAGAGGAATAACTCACTTAAATACAACGATGAAACTTTTCACGAGTATTCTTAAGGACAAATTGGAAAGGCAAATCACTAATGCTGAAGAACAACAAGGTTTTACAAGAGGGCGTACTATAACAGATGCAGTATTCATAATAAAACAAATAAAAGAAAAAGTCATAGAGTTCGACATGACAGCGTATATTTGCTTCATTGATCTGACGAAGGCGTTTGACAGGATTCGCTTGGAAGACATTATAAATATATTAATAAAAAATAAAACACCGACCAACATAACAAAGATAGTCCATAACCTAAATAACAACAATGTAACCGAAGTCTAGCAGATTCACCAATTCACTGAAAATATTCCAACACCGGGAGGAATTAGACAAGGCGACACTTTAAGCCACTTCTTGTTTAACCTACTCATGAGCAAAATTATAAACAAAGTAACATCTCTCAATCTCGGATACAGAATGGGCAACAAATGAATTGGTATGGTGTGTTACGCAGATGATGCAGCAATTATTGCCGAATCAAAAGATGATCTTCAGAGACAGCTCTTTCAGTTCTTTTAAATAAGCCGCCAACTAAATATGACCATTTTAGTCACATGTAAGTTAGTGGTTGAGAATAATCCCATAGAACAGGTGATACAATTCAGATATCTGGGCATAGATATATCAAACACACACGACCCAGTAAAGGACCTAAGGAGTGAGATCAACAAAGCATCTACAGTGGGCAAAACAAGAAAAGACAGAATGAAAAATACAAACGTTAGAGAGCAGTGCAAAATTCAAGATATTGTAAGATAAGGAAGGCAGCGTAAGAGGATGTGATATAATCATGTAAGACGAATGGATGAGAATAGACTCCCAAAAATTGCCCTAAAAAACAACCCGCCAGGTTTAAGACCTCCCGGAAGACCACCTAAAAGATGGAGGGATAGTTGGCAATCTAGCTCCATGATTCAGAATTAAACAGATCGAAAGATCTCCACAAGTAGAAGAAGAACAGAAGAAGAAGTATTTGAAGCTCATTAATGCTATGTCTCGTCTTAATTGTTTTAACCATTTAATGTCAGGCGGCTTAAAAATTTAACAGTTCTTTAGGTTTTTCGTTGATCAGTTCTGAATCAGATCAGAAATATGTACTCCCTGGAATCTTTTTTGAGTAATCTTATATACATCACTTATATACATCTAATAAATGCATGTTTGAAGCAAGTTTCGTGGTTTTACGACTTGTGAGTCCGTCATAAGAATCAAGCTGGGACATAAAGTCATTTATGCTTGTGTTTTGTCGTGAGCTGGAAGTTCAGATAAGCGGTTGTTCGGTTGATTGACGTTCGGATAATCGACGCTCTACTGTACCTTTATTATGTTAGCTTAAATGTTATGGGTTTTCATGACCAAACAAAACATATTGCGTTAAAACTTTGACGCTACTGAGTATAAGAGATTTATTAAATTAACGAATGCAATATTGATCTAAATAAGTAAGAAATTTACCCTTAAAACCGCGCTTAAAAGCGGAATATACCGACTAATCTTTTTTTGCATTTTTACCGCACCAAAACTTTTTTATTCGATTCTATACATTTTTGCCAAGTTCAAATATTCAATGTTTTTTGGTAGTCACTATTATTTCAAAATAATTTTGGATTACCAATGTACTCATATAGTAGGCTTGTGTACTCAACTGGTTTACTCAATGGTTTGAGAATATTTTGACGTTTATTCAGCGTTTAGTGTCATTCGTACATTTTATCATAAAAAACTTTCCTCACGTAAGGGAAAAATCATACTAATTCGATTATTTTTAGTTTAATTTATTAAGTTTAATTAAATATTGTTATGATTTAACTAAGGTTAAAAAAAGTATGCCACCAATTTGCCACTACGATGAAGCCC